GGCCAATCACAATGCACTGGGTCAGCTGGCCAATCAGAGCAGACTGCGCTTGTCAAAGGAGGGGGCTTTGTTGAAAACGACGTGTTTGAGAGAGGCGGGGCATAGAGGACCTACAATAATGTACAGTGTTTGAAAAATGATGTGTTTTTTTAACATTAAAGCATGTCAATATTCTGTTACACCAAATACACAAAATAATTATCTTTAAAATAGCATCATATGACCCCTTTAAAATATATATATATATATATATAAATATTAAATAAAAAAATCTAATTATTTAAATAAAGCTAAATGTAGGTAGAATTTAGATGCAGTAAAGGTAGATGCATTAAATTGGAACATTTAAAATGTTGCAAAATATTTATTCCAATTAAGTGCTGTTCTTTTGAACTTTGTATTTATCAAAGAAAAGTATGGTAGTTTCCACAAAAATATGAAGCAGCATTACTGTTTTCAACATGAATAATAATCTGAAATGTTTCTTGAGCAGCAAATCAGCATGTTAGAATGATTTCTGAAGGATCATGTGACACTGAAGACTGGAGTAATGATGCTGGAAATTCAGCTTTGATTACAGGAATAAATTGCAATTTCCAAAATATTAAAATGGAAACCAGTTATTTTAAATTGTAATAATATTTCACAAAATTACAGTTTTTACTGTATTTTTTATCAAATACTTGCAGCCTTTGTGGGCATTTTTCTTTCATTCTTCTGACTTCAAGGCTTTTATATAACTGGTTATACACAAATTGACTGTTATTACAATTTTAAATACTAAACAGTTTAATCTATGAAATAATGTGAATATGTTTTGTTTCTAATATGTAATTCCATCAGAAGTAAGTCACAGGGATGCACAAAACACAAATGTCACCATTTCATTAAAACTGACACCAAAAACAGCCAGAAAAAGGCACTTGTGTTAGGTTTTAACAATGGAGTTTCATGGTTTGTTTGTGAAAAGTTTCCTTTTTTACAGTGGAATCAGATATGTTCATGTTTCAATTTTTAACATTCAAGTGTATCTTTGGCTTATCATTTCAGGATTCTGAGCTAGTGGACCTAAGGGAAACCATAGAAGTCCTAAAGACCAATAACACAGAAGCCCAGTCCATCACTCAAGGGGCCCTCAATGTCCCCGACACCCGACATGTGTTAGAGGATGCAGCAGGGCCCCAGAATTGTTATTCGTGATCACTGTGGGTGGTGCCGATTGAACCCCAATAATATGACATAATGTGGAGCTAGAAATGTACTCTTCATAATCAAATTGGTTTGAAGTAATACAGTACATTTATACTAAATAGTTATAATAACATATTTTCCTGTGAGTGTACATATCTTCATTAAAAAAAGTTTCAATCCCACCCAAAGGTTTTTTTTTTTTTTTTTACATTTATTCATTTTCATGCATAAGGCATTTTTTGTTTGTTTGTTTTTAGACTTGATGGAAGTGTGCTAAATGAACACTGATTTATTTTTCCCTCAGAGCTGCAGATCGACCGGCAGAACTCGTCAGAGAGCATCTCCAGTCTGAACAGCATCACCAGTCACTCCAGCGCCGGCAGCCTGAAGGAACAGGAGGCCAAGAAGAAGAAGAAGAAGAGCTGGGTGAGGATGGGAACTGGAAAAGAAAACCGTTTCAGATGGTTTTATCTTTGGTTCAGGCTGGTCCAGGCTGCTCATTTAGCTGATCTAATATGTGAAATGTAGATGTAGATGTAGATGATCTGTTCCAACGTTGCGATTAAGTATGACTGTGATCTCTTCCCTTTGCTTCCCTGCTCTCTATTTCACAGGTCTATGAGGTGAGTTGTTTTCCCAGCCCATCCACATCCATCACAATCACAGCATACTTGAAGCTTCTAAAGAAACAGTCAATATCTTTTTTGCCGTTGTATTATGTGGTCAAAAACTCAATAAGTCGCAGCGAGTTAAAATTGGATAGTATAGTGTCAAATGGATGCTTTCAGGTTTAGAATCTGCCACATTTAAAGGATGAATTTGTGTTTTAGTAATATGCAATGCAATGTACTGTACAATATATTAATAGTCATATTGACTGAAAAATGAATTTTCCACATGGTGTTTCAGGTGTCCTGTTAACTCATTATTTCATGCATTCTTAAACTGTTTGATATGTGCTTTGTGATTAATACTGTCATAACTAATGCCTAAGACGAGCATATTATTATGAACCTTGTCAGGGTAGACGCCATATTTAATTCAACATAGATAAACAGCGTTATTGTATACTATTATAGTATATTTTGAATGAGCATTTATTGTTATATATTTCAGTTAATTTAATTTATAATTCAATTTAATTTATTTTAATTTTAGGTTTAATATGTGCCTTTGTCATTTTTATTTGTTTTTGGGTTTTTATATTTCTATGTCTTTAATTTATTTTTATTTCAGTGTTATTTTTAGCAGTACTTCACCTTATTCCAGTTAGTTGTCTAATTTTAATTTAAGTGTAAGTTTTTCCATTTGTTTATATCTATATATAGTTTTTCCAATGTTTATACTTTATTTCATATTTATTTCAGATATGGAAAATGATTTGTAATAGTTCTATTTTTAGTTCCAGTTTTTGAGAAATAGACATTCATTACATCGTACTACTAATGCTAGATGAAGCTTTGCTGGAAAATAAAGAGACTTGTTGGATCATTCTAGCTAAAATTCACTGTTGAGACACTTAATGCATATGCCATCATAAACACATCAAATCATATATGCCTCCACTGCGTTTTTTGTTTTGCTATTAGCTGCCATTATGAATCCAAACTATCTATACGAACACTCTGGGAATTCATACTTGTTTTTAAAAACTCTCAATATAAAATGGTTGCTTTAGTTAAACGTTGACCCTCATTTCTCCTCTACATGCAGTTGAGGAGCTCCTTCAACAAGGCCTTCAGTAAAAAGGGTTCCAAAGCACCATACGCAGATATAGAGGAGATCACAACCCCGGTCACATCCGCCCCGTCTTCACCCAAAATCACCCACAATGTGGATAATGCCTACTCTAAGGCCTCGACTTCAACATCAGGGTAGGAAATGCAACTGTTGAGGTTCTTCACAAGATGATTGGAATTACGCAGCATTCACCTTTCATAGTTATAGGTTTGATGTCGGTATTTATGGCAGATCGTGCGAGGGCCATGAGGACACTGAGCACGAAGAGAAAGTGGTGTCAGAGTTACGCTCAGAACTGTGGGAGAAAGAGCGCAAGCTGACGGACATCCGTTTGGAGGCGCTAAGCTCCGCCCATCAGCTGGAGCAGCTGCAGGAGGCCATGACCAACATGCAGGTGTGTGTGAGATGCTGCTTAGAGGAACATGAATTCATGAGCAGGCTTATATTTGACTAGAACTGATTTCAGGCCTGAGATTTGAGATTAAATGAACACAACTTTTGATTGGTCACTGGTTTTGTGAAATTGCTTTTGGCTGCAAACACGGACTACATAAAAAAAAAATTATAATAATATAAATTTAATGTAAAATTTTATTAACTAATGAATAATAATATTTTTAAATTATATTTTATATATAATTTTATTATTATTGTTTTTTGTTATTCTATATGTGTACTGGTTATTAATAACACAAAAATAAATAATTGCAAGTGATATATATTTCAATGTATTAATATTATATGTGTATAATTAAATTTATAATAATAATTACAAAATATTTAAAATTATACTATATATTTAAAATAATTATTATTGTTATTGATATTATATAGGTGTTATGGTTAGCTATTAATAATACAAATAATCATTTTAAATAATTGTAATAAAAAAAGAATATATATATTATTCTTATTATTTAGACACACTGGCTAATAATAATGATGATAATAATAGTAATAATAATAATAATAATGAACAAAATTGATATTAAATATGTAATACTTGCGTTTGAAAATCCCTTAATAAATGCATTGACAGATGACGGTGGAAAACCTGAAGGCGGAGAATGACCAGCTGAAGATGGTTGACCCCTCCTCCAGACCTCCGAGCTCCACCTCCCAGTCCTCTGGGCTCGGTTCATTGGGCGTCTCATCACCACAGCAATCGGTGTCGTCTTTCGGCAAGGGACAAACTGAGCCTTACCCAGGTCACACATTTACACAGAGATTTCACATCCAGACACTCTTGAATTCTACACTTTCTCACTGTAGTTTCTGTTCGTCTCTCACAGATGTCTTTCAAAGCCCCACCACGACTTTGCAGAAGGATGAAAGTCTCGTCAGAGTGTTGGTTCGCATACCCAATCAGCACCTATTTAAAGACGTGAGTGTTTTACACAAGCATCTTCATCCTGATGAATCAGCTGATCATGTATTGTACATCATAAAACGGATATTTCTGATTCTGAATTCTAACTGGACGGGCCACATACTATACAGAATACTATTATGCATTTACATACCAATGTTATTTACAATTGTCATTGTATTATTTTTATTCTGTATATTATATTTTCTATATATAGAAGCCTATTTATAAATATTTTGAATTCGCTTTTATTTTTTATATTTTTCATTTTAATTTTAGTTTAAATTTTAGTAATTTCGATATGTGCTTTGACATTTTTATTAGTTTGTGTTTTTTATCAAATTTTAATTTATTTTTATTGCAGTTTAAATTATGTAGTACTCCAACTTAAACTTATTTTATTTCAGTTACTTGTCAAGACTATATTTTTGTTTACGTTTTTACGTTTTTTTAATCTATTCTTTGTTTTATTTTATTTCAGCTAACAAAAACAATTATTATTAAATGTAACCATTTTATATATTTAATTTATATTGTTGTTTGTTGTATTTTTAAATAATGTTGAATAAAATAAAGAAAATATTAATATTTGTAATAATATTTAAGTAATATTTGTTTATATTTAAAAATTAAAATGAAATATTGAATGTAATTATTTATATAAATGTTGTTTTTACAACTATAAACAACCTTCTGATCTGCTGTAACTTTTGAAAATCAAATGTCTCATTGATAGGAGGTGAAACAGCTGGAGTTTTTAATTGGCACGGTTAAAATGAGCGGACGGACAGACTGGTTTGCTCTGGACTCTGCAGTTATCCAGGCTTTTAAAGTGAGTGCCGTCTGCAGTCTTCTGAGGGACAGAAACATCCACACATTTAGACCCGAAATCAAACGTCTGAAATGCTTTGAGAATGTGTAAAGCTCTTCTCCTGTCACGGTGCGTCTGTAGGAGTATTTAGCGGTGGTGGACCCCGGCTCCAGTCTCGGTCTCTCTCAGGACTCCATCTACAGCTACAGCCTAAGCCATGTGAAGAGGGTTCTGGGGGCGCAGCCGCCCGAGACGCCTCCTGTGCGCCTCTACACCAAAGGCTCCTCCTGCATCAGCGTGACTCTGAAAGGTCAGTGTGTTGAAGCTGCTGGCTGACAATGGAACAGTACATGTACATGTCAACTCCAACACTGATCTTTTACTGTAGCTATTGGGTCAACTTAAGCCATACATTTAACAGTTTGATGAACACATATGAAATATAAACATGTCATGTCTGTTATAAATTTTAATATATATACATATTTTTGTGTTTATTTTTAGGTATAGAATGGTTTGTCCCAATTAAGTATTTATATTATGTAAATAAATAAATTTCTATTTAGTTTTAATTTATTTTTATTTCGGTTTTAGTCATTTTATTATTTAAAATTAAACTTATTTTATTTTAGATATTTGTCAAGGCAACATTTTTAATTTGAGTTTAGTTATTATTATTATTATTATTATTATCATTATTATTATTATTATTATTATTATTATTATATGCACACTGGTTAATACTACTACTAATAATAATAATATTAATATTAATTGTACATATTATGTACATTTATTGCATGTTAAATTAATTAATACAAAATAAATATATATATATATTCATTTTAATATTTACATTCACGGTTGGAGAGCGTGTTTGTATGTCTTTTTGGATTATTTTAATTATGATGGGAACATTTATAGATGTTTTTATTATTATTATTATTAATTTAACATGAAATAAATGCTTAATTGTGGGCAAACAATATTGTGCTTATTTTCGCTCATCTGAAATTTATTTTGCATAGTTACAATTTCAAACAGCGCTCAAAGAGTTTCAAATTGTTTACTGTCCATAAGCTAGTAAATGTTCTGACAGTATATTTCCATATCAACTGTGAGCCATTATTTTCACATTTACATCTTCAGTAACCGTCAACAAAAAATGCTAATACCCACAGGCAGCGCTGCAGTGTGAACCAGGGATTTTCACAGCTCAAATCCCTAGAGAAGAGCGATATAGCGCTAATGTTTCTCAGTCTAACAGCAGCCAGCAGGAGGTGTGATTGAACAGCAGAACGTTGCTGCCCTCCACAATCCCATCATTCCTGAGCTCTCAGTCTGATATATGACCCAGGGAATTGGGGCCATTACCCAGACTCCTCTGGGCTTGGTCTAGGCGTTATTTTAAGCACAGGCTCCAACTCTTAAGTTGTTTATTGAGGTGGTGTGATGCTGTATAGACCACCCAGACTAAAGAAAACACAGTCATTTGCTTGTTCTCTTTCAGAGAAAATGTGCATTCCTTCTTTTCTGTGTGCGATTTCATCCTGTACTACATTAAAAAATACACACACACACACACACTGCATTGCAGCAACACGTCTCTTTTCAGACGCACAGATGAACCAGTCAGGGCACGAGACTGGCAGAGGAAAGTTTTGTTTGGAATAATTTATCATGCAGGTAATTTATTAAAGTGCCCCTATTATGCCATTTTTAGGGTTCCTAATATTGTTTTGGGAGTCTCCTACAATAGGATTACATGCATGCAAGGTCAAAAAAACGATTTTGTTTTCTCAAAATATGCATTTAATATCACCTCATTTTCCAGCGATCCTCAAACGATTCGTTCGAAGCGGTTCAAAGTTTCAGTCTCTCTAAACCCCTCCTTTCCGTGAGCCTGCTCTGCTCTGATTGGTCAGATGGCCTAATCTGTTGTGATTGGTCTACGGCGTACAGCACGTGTCGGAAACGATACGCCTATTTCAATAGTTCTGTATTTTGAAC